AAAGATTGCAAGTCCAAAGCCAGATTGAGCAACTTAGCAAGACCCTGTCTCAAAATAAAAAATAAAAAGGACTGGGGATGGGGCTCAGTGTTTAAGTGCCCCTGGGTTCAATCAATTAACTTCCATAAAATTTCATTGCCTCTTTGGGTTATATTGAGTCTGAAAAGAAAATCATTGACCGAAATACCAATGTGAACTCTACAACCTCTTCTCGCTCGTGGTTGAATTTAAAGTGGGTGCTTGTTCCTGAAAAAGAAAGTAAAATTAACAATACATCATTGTCAATGCTACCAAAAGAAGAATCCTCCAGTGTTCTTATTCCTGAAAATTGTTTTTCTTTCCATTTTTTTCCCCCTCACAGTGCTGGGGATCCAACCCAGGGTCTTGAGCATGCTAGGCAAGTGCTCTGCCACTGAGGTACACCCCATGTTATTTCCCATATTATCACAGAATTTCAAGTGATGTTTCTTGTCCAAGGTCTCAGTGGGAAAAAGAGAGAGAGAAGTCAGATTACCCTAGGGGTTTATTTTTTCTTGAATATTGGAAGGAAGCATTGCTGAGTTTGTAAGCAACTTGGTGGGTCTCATTCCTGGTATTTCTGTGATGTTCCAGAACACCCCCACTGGTTTCCTAATGAAAGGAAGTTGTAATGAAAGCCATATGGAGAAAGGCGTCATGTTTACTGCCTGCAACAATGTGGGGCAGATCTGCTCTCTCTCTCTCTCATAAACCTAAAAGTTTGATACTCATACACACACACACACACACACACACACACACACACACACACACAGGCAGGCAGGCAGTGTGCCATGATCCTAAATAGTTACACAACTGCCAGCAATCATTTCCTTAGGCCAGGGTGTTGCCATGGGGGCAACCATTAGAGTTGCTCAATGATCTTTCCTCTCCTTCCAGGCATGTAACAGAATTATGCTCCCTCAGCCCTCCCCCTAGAGTTGGGTTTGGCCATATAACTTGTTTTGACTCATGAAATATGAGCAGAAATGAGATATTTCCTTTTTATGTGGAACCTTTAAGAGTTGCCATTTACTTTTTCCTGCCTGGGGAAAATCATGGAAGCACATGGAGACAGAGCCTTCTTCAGTCTGGTTCCTAAGGGGACCACTAGTGATCTACCTGAGGAGAAGCATGAGCAGGAACTACAGCTTTTGTTATTAAAAAAACAACCAAGAACTGGGTTTTAAAAAAATTCCTGCAGCATAAACTAATTTGTTATAGAAATTAATATCAAAGGAGGGATGCTCCCACAACAGAAACCTAAAATTTTGATACTGACTTAGTGGTTGGGCAATGAATAAAGAAGCTGTTAATGGAAACAAGAAGGAGCACAATCCTTGTTGTGAAGTGGTGAAATATTTGGCAAAACCAACACCTTTGATAACTTGGAAGGCAAATAATATTCTTAATGTACCTAAATCTCTAGAGAAGCGCTTGGAAACTATGATCACTGTGTATGCTGAGCACTGTTGGCTGCACTTGGCCATGTATACAAAAATTACAAGCTTCTAAATGAATGTAGAAGTTTGCAAATAGAAATGAGAGGGAACAGAGACATTCCAGAAATTTAATATTTTATGAAGCTGGAAAAGCTCAACTGATCCTAAATCTCATAAAGGAAATATTTTAAAAAGCCAAGTAAAACTCAGCCTCTCAATAAGGGTCAAATTAAAGATTTCTAAAACCTACCATTAAAACCTCTGGCTGCATTGAGGTATCTCAGAGTAAGGATACAATAAAGATTATGGTGTTCAGCAATGTTGTCATGTAAAAGAAATAGCCCAGGAAAGAGACAAAGGAAATAGCTCTCTTACTGACATCTGATAATGCTGAAACCCGATTCTTGAAATTAAGAGAAAGAAAGGCATAGAAACAAGAAAACAGCCCTTTTTATATTTGATTTAGTGACAGGGTCTCACTAAATTGCTGAGGCTGGCTTTGAACTCTCAATCCTCCTGCCTCAGCTTCCCAAGATGCTGGGATTATGGCAACCATCATGCCTGGCCTGAAATCAAAGTTTTCGAGGAAACTCAAAAGAAAAGTATCACTCTGAATTAAGAGACTGTCCCGTATAATACTAAACACAACCTTTGGACTGTGAATCATCTATAGGCAGGAAGCAGGTGAGAAAGTCTAAAAATTTCTATGGAAGGTGTAATTTATTTTCTTTCAAATTTATTTTAATTAGGTATATATTACAGCAGAATGCATTGTGAACAACTGCAGCACAACTTTACATTTCTATGGTTGTACATGATGTAGCGTCGCACCATATGTGCAGTCATACATGTACCTAGGGTAATGATGTCCATCTCATTCCACCATCTTTCCAACCCCCATTTCCCTGCCCCACCACTCCCTCCCCTTTGCCCCAGGAAGATGTAATTTCACTTTATATGTGGCCAGATGATTATGAAGAAGGAATAAATTTCCAGGAGGCAGAGCAAAGGACCACAAAGAACAATGTCTCATCAAGCAAGTGGCATCAGGCCTGTTCGGGGAACATTTCTCAGCCAAAGGACAGGAGCCCTTGATACATCGGCCCAATGGGCCTTCAGAATGGCTACAGTTCTCCATCTTCTATTTGTCTCTCATTTTTGTTTTTATTTTTATTTTTTCCTTCCAGACAAGAACATTTATCCCAGTAACCCTGTTCCTATTCTCCCAATGTTTGAGTGGCAAGGGCTGAGCAGAATTTTTTTTTTGTTGTTGTTCTGGGGATTGAACTCAGGGGCACTCGACCACTGAGCCACATCCCCAGCCCTATTTTGTATTTTATTTAGAGACAGGGTCTCACTGAGTTGCTTAGCGTCTCACCATTGCTAAGGCTGGCTTTGAACTCGCGATCCTCCTGCCTCAGCCTCCCAAGCCACTGGGATTACAGGCATGCACCACCACACCTGGCTGAGCAGAATTTTTTAACTTGTGTCTTCTCAGATTAGGGCAGTCAGACTTAATCTAGAAATCTCCAGATTTGTGAAACATCCATAATTACTAATAATAATATTTGAAAGTGTTTTACACATTGTAAAATTTTCTCATATTTTGTTTCCTTTTTGTCATTATTTGAAAGGTAAATATTCTAACTTTGTAGACGAAAAAGTTGAGGATTAAAAGACTAGACCATTTTATATGTTTTCATAGCAAAATATGTTACTATGGTGCTAATAACTAGCCTGAGAAGAATATTACACAAAAGTAAAATTTTAAATATGGTTGAAGGAGGAAAAAAGTTGATAAAAGCAAACAAAATTCTCTATTAGCCTAAGATACTACCTGGGAAAACAGGCTTGAATAAGATATTACAATGAGGAATTTGACATCCAGGAATGAATACAGGGAGTGTATTGTCAAGGGAGTGTGATTGGGATACTTGCGTAGATGGCATTGCCGGTAAAAATTTTTGCCTACTGTGAGGTTTAGTTTGGTGAGCTGCTAAAATGTAGATCCTCACATCTCTCACATAAAAAGTCAAATATTTAATTGTTTTATGGAGTGTTAAAAAAATCAACTTTGAATAAGCCCTTTAATTCTGTTATTCCCTCCGGATGAAGGCTGAGAAGATCCCTGGTCACATTTCTTGGAGAGTTATAATGTCCTGCCAAACTTAGATGTTTCATTCTGGCTATGACAAGGTAGATTGTACCCAACTAATTCTTTTGCCAAAAATGATTGTGAAAGCTGGACAAGTTTGTAGAATATATATCCATATATAAAATCACTGCTTGAAGGCAGAGGAGGGCAACCCAAATAAGTTTTGCATATGAGGAACTAGAGTCCTTAAGCATATAAGTGTCATATTTACCCTCAAATTTTTCTTTGAAGACATTCTCAAATCATACTAGGGAATAGATTCAAACAGAAATCACAGTCTTGTTTAGCTGAGGAGAAAGAGATTGGAATCCAGAATTGTCAAACTGTTGCCAGGTACACTGGCACACGCCTATAATCCCAGAGAAATCAGGAGGCTGAGGCAGGAGGATGGCAAGTTCAAAGTCAGTCTCATCAATTTAGTAAGCCCCTAAGTAACTTAGTGAGACCATGTCTCAAAATAAAAAATAAAAAGGGCTGAGGATGTGGCTCAGTGGATAAGCACCCCTGGGTCAATTCCTGGTACTACTACTACTACCACTAATAATAATAATAATAGTTAAACTATTGGAGACTTGAGAGTCAAAATCCTAGAGCAAAGGTCATCAAAGGAAAAGCCCCCCCAAATTTTGCCGTTTAAATCACTGATAGACTTTTCTCTGTGTTTGAATATCTCAAGATTCCAAGAAACACAACAACAACAAATAACAGTAGCTAGAAGGTTAAAGATCTGACAAAGATTTCAAAAGGGCCCTAACAAACACTCCAAACTTTTTAAAAAATATTTATTAATTTTTTTTTAGTTGTAGTTGAACACAATACCTCTATTTTATTTATTTATTTTTATGTGGTGCTAAGGATCGAACCCAGGGCCTCACATGTGCTAGGGAGCACTCTACCACTGAGTCACAACCCCAACCTCAAACACTCCAAACTTTGAGTGGCAACTTCAGAAGGACTAAGTTCTAGGAGTAAGGACACTTCTCTAGGACAAAAGACCAAAGACAAAGAGGAAGGAGAAAAATTTAAACAGACCAGAACCAACAACATTTAAAATCAACCTTTGATATGTCAAGATGATCTGACATTTCTCTATCTGCCTGCCAAAAGCAAAACTTAACACCCTCTTCGCAGGACAACATCATCATCTAGAGCCTCAATAGTCTTCCACCTTAAATGACCAGCACACAATAAAAAATCATAAGACATACTAAAAGATAGAGCCAAGTAATTTAAAACAGAAATATATATATGACCCTCAGGTGATTCAGATTTTGAAGTTATGAGACAGGGACTTTAAAATAACTATGATTGGAGAGCGAGCGCGAGAGGGAAAAGGAGGGAGGGGGTGGGGAGGAGGGAATCTTGTATCACGTGACAGGGGCGGCGCGGCCCGGGGTGTCAGTGTGGAGGAGACTGAGTATTCTACCTTGTAAATACTGTTATTTGTATATACTGTAAATGATGACGTCGGTGGGCACTAACCGAGCCCGGGGAAACTGGGAACAACCTCAAAACCAAAACCAGACACAGCACAAGCAGCGGCCACAGGCCACTGCGGAACAAATTCGACTTGCACAGATGATTTCGGACCACAATGATGCTGACTTTGAGGAGAAGGTGAAACAATTGATTGATATCACAGGCAAGAACCAGGATGAATGTGTGATTGCTTTGCATGACTGCAATGGAGATGTTAACAGAGCCATCAATGTTCTGCTGGAAGGAAACCCAGACACGCATTCCTGGGAGATGGTCGGGAAGAAGAAAGGTGTCTCAGGACAGAAGGATGGTGGCCAGACGGAATCCAACGAGGAAGGCAAAGAAAATCGAGACCGGGACAGAGACTATAGTCGGCGACGTGGTGGGCCACCAAGACGGGGAAGAGGTGCCAGCCGTGGACGAGAGTTTCGGGGTCAGGAAAATGGATTGGATGGCACTAAGAGTGGAGGGCCTTCTGGAAGAGGCACAGAAAGAGGCAGAAGAGGCCGTGGCCGAGGCAGAGGAGGCTCTGGTAGGCGGGGAGGAAGGTTTTCTGCTCAAGGAATGGGAACCTTTAACCCAGCTGATTATGCAGAGCCAGCCAATACTGATGATAGTTACGGTAATAGTAGCGGGAATATGTGGAACAACACTGGCCACTTTGAACCAGATGATGGGACGAGTGCATGGAGGACGGCAACAGAGGAGTGGGGAACTGAAGATTGGAATGAAGATCTTTCTGAGACCAAGATCTTCACTGCCTCTAATGTGTCTTCAGTGCCTCTGCCTGCGGAGAATGTGACAATCACTGCTGGTCAGAGAATTGACCTTGCTGTTCTCTTGGGGAAGACACCATCTTCAATGGAGAATGATTCATCTAATCTGGATCCATCTCAGGCTCCTTCTCTGGCCCAGCCTCTGGTGTTCAGTAATTCGAAGCAGAGTGCCATATCACAGCCTGCTTCAGGGAACACATTTTCTCATCATAGTATGGTGAGCATGTTAGGAAAAGGATTTGGTGATGTCGGTGAAGCTAAAGGTGGCAGTACTACAGGCTCTCAGTTCTTGGAGCAGTTCAAGACTGCTCAGGCCCTGGCTCAGCTGGCAGCTCAGCATTCTCAATCTGGAAGCACCACCACCTCCTCTTGGGACATGGCCTCAACGACACAGTCCCCATCACTGGTGCAGTATGACTTAAAGAACCCAAATGATTCTACAGTACACAGCCCCTTTACAAAGCGCCAGGCTTTCACCCCATCTTCAACCATGATGGAGGTGTTCCTTCAGGAGAAGCCACCTGCAGTGGCCACCTCCACCGCTGCACCTCCACCCCCCTCTTCTCCTCTGCCAAGTAAATCCACCTCGGCTCCACAGATGTCTCCTGGGTCTTCAGACAACCAATCCTCCAGCCCTCAGCCAGCTCAGCAGAAACTGAAACAGCAAAAGAAAAAAGCCTCACTGACTTCTAAGATTCCTGCTCTGGCTGTGGAGATGCCTGGCTCAGCAGATATCTCAGGGCTAAATCTGCAGTTTGGGGCATTGCAGTTTGGGTCAGAGCCTGTCCTTTCTGATTATGAGTCCACCCCCACCACGAGCGCCTCTTCAAGCCAGGCTCCAAGTAGCCTATATACCAGCACGGCCAGTGAATCTTCATCTACAATTTCATCTAACCAGAGTCAGGAGTCTGGTTATCAGAGTGGCCCAATTCAGTCGACAACCTATACCTCCCAAAATAATGCTCAGGCCCCTCTATATGAGCAAAGATCCACCCAGACTCGGCGGTACCCCAGTTCCATCTCTTCATCACCCCAAAAGGACCTGACTCAGGCAAAGAATGGCTTCAGTTCTGTGCAGGCCACGCAGTTACAGACCACGCAATCTGTTGAAGGTGCTACAGGCTCTGCAGTGAAATCTGACTCACCTTCCACTTCTAGCATCCCCCCTCTCAATGAAACGGTATCTGCAGCTTCCTTACTGACAACAACCAATCAGCACTCATCCTCCTTGGGTGGCTTGAGCCACAGTGAGGAAATTCCAAATACCACCACCACGCAACACAGCAGCACGTTATCTACACAGCAGAATACCCTTTCATCATCAACATCTTCTGGACGCACTTCGACATCCACTCTTTTGCACACAAGTGTGGAGAGTGAGGCGAATCTCCATTCTTCCTCCAGCACTTTCTCTACCACGTCCAGCACAGTCTCTGCACCTCCCCCAGTGGTCAGTACATTGCTGGTGGGACTGCAAATTGGTGCAGCCAATTTGGAAAGCAGTATGGAGATTTCTTGGAAAGCTGGGAATGGAGCCACCATTTGACCCAGCTATTCCCCTTCTCGGTCTATTCCCTAAAGACCTAAAAAGAGCATGCTACAGGGACACTGCTACATCGATGTTCATAGCAGCACAATTCACAATTGCTAGACTGTGGAACCAACCTAGATGCCCTTCAATGGATGAATGGATAAAAAAAATGTGGCATTTATACACAATGGAGTATTACTCTGCATTAAAAAATGACAAAATCATAGAATTTACAGGGAAATGGATGGCATTAGAGCAGATTATGCTAAGTGAAGCTAGCCAATCCCTAAAAAACAAATGCCAAATGTCTTCTTTGATATAAGGAGAGTAACTAAGAACAGAGTAGGGTCGAAGAGCATGAGAAGAAGATTAACATTAAACAGGGATGAGAGGTGGGAGGAAAAGGGAGAGAGAAGGGAAAATGCATGGAAATGGAAGGAGACCCTCAGAGTTATACAAAAGTACATACAAGAGGAAGTGAGGGGAAGGGGAAAAATAATACAAGGGGGACAAACGAATGTCAGTAGAGGGGGCAGAGAAAGAAGAGGGGAGGGTTAGGGGAGGGGAGGGGGGATAGTAGAGGATAGGAAAGGCAGCAGAATACAACAGACACTAGTATGGCAATATGTAAATCAATGGATGTGTAACTGATGTGATTCTGCAATCTGTATATGGGGTAAAAATGGGAGCTCATAACCCACTTGAATCAAATTGTGAAATATGATATATCAAGTACTATGTAATGTTTTGAACAGCCAACAATAAAAAATTAAAAATAAATAAATAAATTTGGTAACTGTTTATAAAAGCAATTAACTTAAATGGTACATATCCAAAGACTTGTTGGCAATGGGGAGTGGGCTGAAAATTTAAAAGACCTGATGGCACTTTTGCATTAGAATTTTATTAAGTTAATTGCATTTTTGAAAGCAAAGTCATTAAAAAAAATTTATCCTTGGGGATAGTCACAAAGTACCCAGATGAATGGTAAATTTCAGAAATTTGGAGTAATTTAGGGAGAACTAAGTAGAACTATTTAATTTCTAAACCAATGGGTGTTTAAGATTTATGATCTCTCTCATAATTACAAACATACATTATATATCATTTTATGATAATGTGTTGCTGATATTCTACAACATTTACACATTTTTGTAGGAAAACTTTTTACAAAATTTCATCTAACCAACATTTGGATGCTTACTCCTGGCAAGTGAATAGAGAAAGTGAGCAGAAGCGCCATAGTAATGAACTAATGCAAACTGGCTTCCTCAAAGGTTTTCGTGTTAAATGCACTACTGAGGACAAACTGTTCTTCAAATATATGTAGTGTTCACTTGTCTAAAAGCAAGTCTAAATATCACTTTAATCAAGGAAGTACTTACACCAATATATTTGGTCCAGACAAACATACTTGGCACTAGTTAAATGAATGGCTTACACAAAGGAGATAGTGTTACATTAAGTTTCATTAATAATAAAACTGACTATTAGCATTTTGCAAGGAAGGCTAGAACTGATTTCCTCTGTAATGGGCAAAGTTAAGTAACTATAGCTCATAAGTTTTAAGTCAAATACTTCTCATTCATTGCTGCTGATCTTGTCAATACTTGCTGTAAAGGTTTGGTCCCAACACAAGGCTGATAAAATGGTTTTTAATTACCAGACTATAAATACAGCTTTTCAGTAAAGTCGTACCTCTTTTCACACAGGCCTGTTTGATTTCTGATAATTTGTACTGCTGACTCTGCTTACCTGTTTTTCAATAGCTATAGTCAGTGTGACTTCTTGTCCATATGGTGATAGGTAAGTCTCCTTGGAGAACATCTTTGACAAACTACCCTATTGATCTCTGTAATTCTCTGCTGCTTGCAGCATTAAATAGAGCCCTGATTTCTTGTCTGATGTGCTCACTGTGTAACAATTAAGCAAATGTAATATTTTCTTGTATTGCATGAAAATCAATAGACCTCTTGCTCTTATGGAGTTGATCATGGTAAAGGATGAACTCAGTGGTGGCTAAGGGCATAGTTCAAAAATTAAAATATCATTCATCGGATTTAAGACTTAATAGTAAGACTTTAGTATGAAAATTGCTTCTCATTAAACAGTAAATGCTTTAAGTTTTTTTCTTTAAAGTTGTATATTACATAGAAGCATTGTGGCCTGAAAAGGATAAAATATAAATCCTGGAAGCCAGGACGCTCTGTCTAATTTTAGTATCAGTGCTGTCTTTTTGACCTAAGGATAATAACTCCTTACCTTGTGTCTTAGTTTTTCCTTCTGTAATGTGAGAGGAACAACACAAGAGCCCCTTGTAACCCAAATGTGTCATGATTATACTTGTAAGCACATTTTTATTTCATTAAAAGCTCTATTTTTGTAATCCACCTTTTTCTGATCCTTATATTTATAAAGGACTTCACAGAATAAAGTATTTCAGAAATAAGGCGAGGTGGGGAGATGGAGAAAAACTGAAGCCAATTTGTGGGTGTCTACACCCGTGCCCACTTACCTACAAGGGCAAGGAGGCTCCTGAGTGGGCCCTGCTCTTCTGGATGTCAGGATTTCACTTAGTTAATGAAACCATTAATTCAGCTTTTCTGCCTATATTTATTTTGTCTTTAAAATAATCCATGCAAAACTTATTAAATGAAGATGTGCTTTTATACAAAACCTTGCATCTCTCATTATCCTGATATAAATCAGTTATCAAGTATTGGAATAAATTTCTAGATAAAATTTTTAGTTCCTGTGTAAGTTCTGAACCACTATTAAAATGCAGTAACAATTGGGAGAATGAAAGAGATTGCTGATATAAAATTGCTATTTTTTCCAGTGTACATTTCCTAAAATACCAAAATTGTATAAATAGTTATAATTTCTTTCTTTGCATATTTGGCTATTAATTTACTGTTTTTGCTAATTATTGATGTCCGTAAAAATTGAAATATTTTTTCATAAAAGCCATATGTATTTTTAAGTCCATTTTATTTCATGTCATTTATATTCATGTTCACCCTAAACTGTAAGCATGGAACATCTATAATTCTGCACAAAATACCTTTTCAATCTACTAAAGAATGAATGACGTGTAGATGAGTGGGATGACATAAAAGTCAAGGATCTTGCTTTCACTTCACTTAAAAGCTAATGCAGATAACAGAAACCTTATCCTAATGCTAGTGGATCAGGTATCTACTTTTTTTCAGCACTTAACATTGAGACAGTAATGACATTTGGGAGCATCTTAACCTAAACAAGTACTTAGCATTACGTCTCACCTGGGTCAACAGTCTAGGGTATCAGAGTTAAACTGTGTTACTGTAAATTAATGGAAAATGTAACTGCACTTTGCTGAAAGATCAATGTCCAATAAAGGCTGCACAATCAAATCTTGTTGCAATGATTGAGGTCTTTAATTGCCTTTCAAAGATAAGGTGGTAATCAACACAGCTTTAACTGATCTTTTTTACTAGTTCAATTACATGCTAATGACTAGTGCCAAGTCAGAATCTTTAACTACTTATACTTATTAAATCTTATGTTAGCAATGAAAAATTACTTAAGCTACACAATCAATAGCATACAAATCTTCATTGCTATATTTCAGTCTTCTACTATTTTATGTGCTTGACAAATGTTTCACAAGAGCTCTCCCAACACCAAAAAGGGTTATTAGTAGTGACCATAGTCTAAAGATTACTTTTCTAATATAAATTAGAGATCAAATTAGATGTTAAAATTTTCCTTTAATAAAAATGTGGCTAAAATAGTTTCCAATAATATATATTTGGCCATCCAACCCCAACACAGAGCTTTGTTCTGCTAATTGAGAATACTAATACAACTGGACTAAAATCTAGGTGGTTTTTATTAAGTTTATTTCCAAATGTTTCATTAGGTTTTTAGTCATGAAATTTGATTTCACATAGAGCCTACAAAATTCTTTTGTTCTGGAAAAGGATAAAAGTAAACTCAAATGACAGACGAAAATATATATAAATTGAACATCAGAATTTAAAATTTCTGTGCTTCAGAGGATGTGATCAAGGAAATAAAAAGACAACCCACAGAATAGGAGAAAATATTCACAAATCATATATCTATAATGAATTTATATCCAGCATATAAAAAGAACTTTTAAAATGCACCAACCCAACTGAAAAATGTACTAAAAAATACATGTCTTCAAAAAGATATACAAAGAGCTAATAAACAAAACACATGCAAATCAAACCCACAATGAGACACCACTGCATATCTACTTACTTACTAGGATGACTATAACCGAAAAGAAGTGTGGGCAGAATGTGGAGAAATTTGAACCCTCATAAATTGTTAGTGGCAATGTAAAGTGAATGAAGCTGCTTTGGAAGTTTCACAGTTCCTCAAAATCTTAAATAAGGAGTTATATGACTCAGCAATTCTGCTCCTAGGTATGTACCCTAGAGAACGGAAAACATGTCCATGCAAAAACTTGTATAAGAATATTCATATTAGTATTATTCAGGCAATAACAGGAATGAAGTGTGGACAGATGATGAAACAACATTAATGAACTTGTAAACATTGTTAAGTGAAAGAAGTAAGTCATAAAAGACCTCATATTGTATAACTACATTTATATGAAATGTCCAGAATAGGCAAATCTATACAGACAAAAAGTAAGTGATTGCTAAAGGTTGGGGAGGTTAGAAGGAATTGGGGAGTGACTGCAAATGGGGTATAGATAGCATTTCTTTAAGGGATGATGAAACTTGTAAAATTGATTGTGGTGATGATTGTAAAATTCTGTGACTATATTCAAACTATTGTACACTTTGAAAGAACTGTATGGCTGGTGAACTGTATCTCCATTAAGCTGTTAAAATTATTAAAGCACAATTGGTGTTCAATGGGTACAGAGTTTCAGTTTTGCAAGATGAAAAATGTTCTGTAGATGGATATGTTGATAGTTGCATAATACTATGAATGTACTTAATACCACTGAACTGTACACTTAAACATGATTAAAATGGTAAATATTATGTGCATTTTACCATAATTAAAATAAATTTTACGGCTGGGAATATAGCTTAGTTGGTAGAGTGCTTGCCTCACATGTCCTGGGTTCACCATAAAAAAAATAAAATAAATTTTAAAAAATGGAGTAAAGGAGTCAACTATGATAAAATATAATTGCATGAATCCTGTAAGAAATAACTGAGTTTAGGGACTGGGCATGTAACTCAGTGGTACAGCGTTTGACTACCAGAACGTACAAGGCCCTGGATTGGATTGCCAGCGCGTGCGAGAAAACAAATAAAAAACTAAATTTAGAAAAATGGTACAAATTAAAAGTTAAAATATGTTAACATTATTTTATATATTATAGTCTTAGAATTTTAAAAATTTTACTTATGAAGCCTAGTTTTAATTAAGTAGATGAAATCTCATTTGGGATCATTTTTAGGAGCATTAAGAAAAGGATATTTTTGGTTTGAGATTATTAAAATGAGACCAAAGTAAAGCCTGTAAAGTGTTAGTAAATGAAAATAACCTTTCTTGGATCCTAGTTGCTGGATAAAGAATACCAGTTACTATTAGTGCTAGGTTTTATATAGTATTGCTTATAGCTATTTTAGTTGCACTTATATCATTTTAAATACAGTTTATGAACATTGTATTATTCCATTATATTATTAATTTATCTTCAGTGATATTTATTGTATCAATTTAAAAGCTGTAAAACTTCATGAAAAGTAGCTTAAACACAGGATTTTGATAAACAAAAGCTTTCTGTTTTTAAAAGCAAATCATAGAAATTGTACTTCTTAAAGGTTTGAATTTTTTTGTTGTTATTGTTGACAGAATTATGAACCCTATAAACCCAGTATTTTTTAGTTAACCTAAATACATAAATCTATTTGAATTCATCTTATGAAAAGAGATATGTCATTAGATATATGATCATTATATGTGTTAGTGATTCATGGACCTTGTTACATACATGCTTTGTAATGTATGAATTATTTAGTAAGAAAAATCACAATAATTTTGTTGTTACTCAAAAATTTATGGGTTGGCAGAAACAATTATGCAGCCCCTGAAGCTGATATGTTAAGGTAACATCATTAACACCACGTAGTATGTTTTTTTTAATAGTTGTTTGACATAACCTTTTCTGCTTTGCTAGAATACATCAGCAACAGTCTGTCTGTAAATAGAATGTTGAATTTATCAACCACAAAGTGATTCATTTCACTCCCTTTCCATATTAGTACATAAGTTAAAGCCAGACCCAAAAAGTTGTCTCCACAAACCCTAAAAGAAGAATAAAATTATATAAATAAAAATTAATACTCTAGCAAGTAGACATAAATGTACAACTTCATATAATGAAAGTGGATATTTTTACTTAAAAATATAGATGTTTGGGGCTGGGGCTCAGTGACAGAGCACTTGCATTGCATGTGTGAGGCACTGGGTTCAATTTTCAGCACCACATAAAAATAAATAAAGATATCTACAACTAAAAAATATATTTAAAAAATAGATGTTTAAGAACTGGATGAAAATAATTCATGAGAGTAGCAGATTATTTCGAAACCTTTTTTTATACCTTGTATTACAGCCCATACTGTGAAATGAAGAACAAAATTTTACATACTTATGTTTCAAAATCTCTGAATTTATAAAGTGAAGTAACCAAAAAATTTGAAACTTTGAATAAAAATATAGACTAGGATTGGGTATGGTGGTGTACACTTGTAATCCCAGGGACTTGGGAGGCTGAGGCAGGAGGATCAGGCAGGAGGCCAGCTTGGGCTACTTATTGAGACCCTGTTTCAAAATTAGAAAAAAACAAAACAAAACAAAAAAAAAAAACCCCTGACGGTCCCGGGATATAACTCAGTGGTAAAGCTCCCCTGGCTTCAATCCCCAGTATGGGGGGGGGGGGAGTCAACAGTCGTTCATGCATCCAACAAATACTTTTACATTGATTATGTAGAAGACAAAATTTTGTAACTTTACATACCAACAAAACTCAGCAGTTCTGAATCTACATGTAGAACTTTTCAAGCCATCCTTTCTAGGCTCAAAAAGACAGGTTCTAAACACAATTGGATGGAAACCACACGTTACCAATGCTTGTTTCCAGCCCTTGTCATATAATGAATGCTCTATGTTGAATGAACATAAAATTTGAAATTAAGAAGAAATTTGCCTTTGCCTTTAATAGCTTTAAGAACAGGATGCTGTAATTGGAGATCATACAGATATTTTATTATAAGAATAGCAACAAGTTTTAACATATGATCTCAGATATAATGAATTAACTATGTACTCTGAAAAAATCAGAATCTTGGTGCAGTATTCTTTTGAGACATTTCAAAAGGTGCCATTTATCTTCTCATACTACAGAAACTGCTATTATAAAGTCAAATTTAGATGGTGTGCAGAAGTAAATGAAATGAAGCTTTAAACCAAAGTACAAGGATCAATTAGACTTACTCTTCTAAAATAGAACTAGAAACAATGTGTTAGTATGTAACCAGGAGGCAAGAAGAATATTTTGAGTTGTCAAAAAAAATGGCAGGGTTATCTCTTGAGGCAGCAAGTCCTGTGTTGTGACATTGAGAGGCTGCATGACAATTCCTTTGGAAAATTCTTGAGTGGGGCAATGGATTAGATTGGTGACACTATAAGTTCCATTTAATCTTGAAATTTTGTCATTCTTGCATGCCTATGTCTAATCCCTGATCATGCTAATTAGTTTGCCATTTACCACATTTCCACTAGGTATATAATACCAGGAATCCTGTTTTGAAAAGAAAAATAAATGGTTTAAGTTCTTGCTCCACCATTACTGGTTAAGTTACAGAAAAATCTGAGCCTTCTAAATTTTGGTACCTGCATGTACATAGTAAGTACTTGGTATAGTAAGTAGTTTATTTAACCCTTCAAGGAATTTACCTGTGCCAAGGTCCTTGCACACAAGAACTCACTTAGTCCCCTCATAACAACCCTATGATTTAACCACTATTTTTAAGCTTAGTTTTCACCTGCAGAAACCAAGAAGTCCTGCCCCAGGTCACACAAGGAGAGTGTTCTTCTGATCCCTGCAGTCTGCAGAGGCCACACTCCCAGTTTCGACTCCACCCTTGTCCTACAATGCCTGGGACAATTGATGGACGTGGAAGCACTTTGCCAGCTAAATGCAGTTAAATGCAAGTCATGTTTTGTTATTATTATTACTACTATTAAGACACATGAAGAGAATAATATAGATTTGTTTAAGCATTGAGAAAAGAGAAATAATAAAGTTGAAATGTAATGAACTAATTCACTTTAGAGGATTTATAACTCACAGTGCTTGGCACATAGTGACGCTCCATGAATATCTGTTGAACTCATCTCTGTCCCTGCCCAGTGCTGGGATTATTTCTACTGTCCTTTTCCATTCCCGACCAAGCTGAAGACAACAGACTTACCTACTGACTTTTGGCAGTTTGTTCCTTTCGTCCATGTCTTTTCATATTCTTCTTTTTCCAGAAGAAATATATAATAAGCAACATGAAGAAAACAATTGTGTTTATTGTTGTGATATTGCTACCATAAATTTTATTTCTTAAATTCAAATTGCTAGGATATTATTGCTGATGTGTAGAAATGCAACTTAAATTTTAAAAAAATGTAGAATCATTGCGATTTACAGAAATGTTGCATTTTGGCATATATCACCTGAATTCCTCTCATGTTAGCATCTTATATAAACATTGAACATATGTCAACTCTAACAAATCAACATTGGTGCTTCATCACTAATCGAACTTCAAATTTTATTCAGATTTCACCGTTTTTCATTAATATCCTTTTTTCTTTCCCATGACTCCACTCAGGATCCCCACATTTCATTTAGTCATCACATCTCCTTAGGCTCCTCTGGTCTGTGACAGCTTCTCAGACTTTTGTTGTTGTTGTTTTTATGACCTTGATAGGTTTGAAGACTACTTTTCAGGATTTTGTAGAGAGTTGCTGTATTTGTGTTTGGCTGTGTTTTTCTCATGATTAGATTGGGGGTTTGGGGAAGAAGACCACAGAGGTCAAGTGCCTTCTTATTACCTCACATTAAAGGGCTCCTGATGTCAACATGATCTACCACTGGTGATGTCAAACTGGATTGCTCAGTTAGGATGGTGCCTGCCAGGCTTTTCCACAGCAGTTACTCCTTTCTCTTTCCATTCTCCTTATGTTCTTTTAAATAAAAATTTGTGATCAAAAAATTAACATGTTTTATGCAAGGGCCCACTCTAGTCACTAAAAGAAACAAGTGGATTTGTTGGACACAGAAGACAATATTTGCTATAAAATGTACTAGTTAATGGGTGACTAACTGTTACTGTCTGAATCTTGGTGGTGGTGGAAAGGAAAAGGAGCAAGGGACACTCAAGGCAGGCAGGAGATGCACATGGATGTTGCATTTTTATTACTGAATCCACTTAGCCTTTGAAACTCATTCACTCAAACAAACCTCATTCATTCATTCACCAAATATTGTTAAAGGACCCACTATGTACCAAGTACTCTCTTAGATGGTAGGAATATAGAAGTGAATAAAGCAGGACTGGGGTTGTGGCTCAGTGGTAGAGCGCTTGCCTACCATGTGTGAGGCACTGGTTCAATTCTCAGCACCTCATATAAATAAATAAAATAAAGGTCCATTGACAATTAAAAAAACATATATATTTTTTAAAAAAGTGAATAAACAAACAATTTCCTTCTCTCATGAAGTTATACAAATGACTAAAAGGTGTTGTGTTAAATTCTGATAAGTGCCTGGAAAAATAAATGACAGAAGGGGATTAGGAATCATGGATACCTTTATGCTTGTACCTGGAGTGGGTAAGTAAGTTTTGGGATGGTTTGCAATTTCAGTAGGGAAGACTTCAGGTAGATGGTTATATCTGAGTCAAGAATTGAAGAATGTAAGGGAATGAACCCCGTAGATAACTGAGGTCAGAGCAATCTAAGCTGAAGAAATGGCAAATGCAAAGGCCCTGAGGTAGGATGCTGGATATGTTCAAGGAACAGTGAGAAGGAGGTTGGTATGAGAGTGACAGCAGGAAATGAGGTTCAAGAATTCAACCTCGTGGCTGAAGTGGAAATTGTCATTTTCATCCTTGTCCTGGGAGTCCAAGGTACTCAGGCAACTGATGGTGCTTATATTCCCTTGGCCACCTGCATCAGGTATGCCCTGTTCACCTCCCACTGAGGATGTAGCTCAGTGGTAGAGTGCTTGCCTATTATGGGCAAGGCCCTGGGTTCAATCCCCAGTATTGCAAAAACAACAAAGAGGCTGTGGTTGTGGTTCAGCGGTAGAAGCACACATGCCTGAGGCCCTGGGTCAATCCCTAGAACTAAAAAACAAAAACAAAACCAAAAAATTTCAGATGAGGTAGGGCCAGAATGTGTAGAGTTTTGTAGGCCAAGGAGAAGTCTTTGGCTTTTACCCTGCACAAGATAGGAAGCCATCTGGAGTGTTAACCAAATGAGTGACCTGATCTAACTGGCTGGGAATGGAGTATTTGTAGGAGATGCAAGGGTGAAAACAGAAGATGAGGAAATGATTGGACTGGATTAGTAGCCATGTTGATGGCAAGAGCTTAAGAGCAAGGTAATAAGAGATGAACAAAAAGCTCTCTGAAATTATAAAATATAACATTTCTCATTAAATAAAATCACTTTAAAGCAATAATAAAAGGGATTAAAAAGCCAGCAAAAGACTTGAGTGGTTATTTCTCCAAAGAAGATATAAAAATAGTCAACAAACATATGAAAACACACTCAACAGATTTTTACCCCTCACACATCATATAGAGCACTAATCGCTAGGGTATATAAAGAACTCAAAAAGCTAAACACCAACAAAACCAAATAACCCAGTCAATAAATGGGCCAAGGTCATGAACAGACACTTCTCAGAAGAGGATATTCAATCAATCAACAAATATATGAAAACATGTTCATTATCTCTAGCAAGTAGAGAAATGCAAATAAAAATTAAGATTTCATCTCACTCTAGTCAGAATGGCAGCTATTATGAATACAAACAACAATAAGTGTTGGTGAGGATGTGGGGGAAAAGGTACACTCATACATTCTGGTGGGACTGCAAATTGGTACAGCCAATATGGAAAGCAGTATGGAGATTCCTTGGAAAACTTGGAATGGAACCACCATTTGACCCAGCTATCCCTCTCCTCAGTCTATACCCAATGGACTTAAAAACAGCATACTACAGAGACACAGCCATATCAATTCACAATAGCTAAACTGTGGAACCAACCTAGCTGCTCTTCAGTAGATGAATGGATTAAAAAATGTGGCATATATACACAATGGAATATTACTCAGTAATAAAAGAGAATAAAATCATGGAATTTGCAAGTAAATGAATGCAGTTGGAGAAGATAATGCTAAGTGAAGTTAGCCAATCCCAAAAAAACAAAGGGCGAATGTTTTCTCTGATATAAGGTGACTGACTCATACTGGGGTAGGGAGAGGGAACATGAGAGGAATAGACAAACTCTAGATAGGGCAGAGGGGTGGGAGGGGAAGGGCGGGGGCAGGGGGTTAGCAATGATGGTGAAATGTGATGGACATCATTATCCAAAATATATGTATGAAGATATGAATTGGTGTGAACATATATATACAGAGATATAAAAATTGTGTTCTATATGTGTAATAAGAATTGTAATGCATTCCACTGTCAATGTATTTAAAAAATAAAAGCAATTAAAAAAACATGCTCAACATAGGTAATCATTAGAAAAACAAAAACCAAAACAAGAATGAGATATTGCTATACACCCAATAGGACAACTATTATGGAAAAATGCAGACAGTAACAAATACTGGTGAAGATATGGAGAAATTCCCACTTTGAAGGGAATGTAAAATGGTATGGCCATTGTGAAAAATGTTTTGGCAGTTCCTCAAAATTTAAACAGAAAATATGATACAACAATTCCACTTCTGGATATGTATCTGCTGTGGTTTGAATATGGTTTAACTGTGTTCCCCCAAAAGTTCATGTGTTGAAGATATGATCCCAGGATAGCACCACCCTTGGGAGTGGTTGGCCCTTGAAGGTCTATTGGTCATTGGAAGCATGCTCCTGAAAGAAATGATGGGACTCCATTCCCCAGTCTCTCTGGCTTTCTATTTTGAGTTGTAATTTTTTTCCTTCCTGACAATTTCTCCATTGTGGCCCCATTAGCCATATGGTCCTCACCAGAGCCAGGCTGATACCAGTACCATGTCCTTGAGCCTCAAAAACTGAGTTAAATAAATTTCTTCTTTACAAAGTTAGCTTGCCTCAGGTATTTAATTACAGTTACATAGATTAATGCAATATCCGGAAGAATTAAAAGCAGGGTCTGGAAAAAAATATATATTAAAACAGTTATATTTTATGCAAATTCATGTATATATTCATTATTTAGTTTTGGTGCTGGGGATTGAATCCAGGTCTCAAGTATGTTTAGCACATCACTGAACTGTACCTGCAGCCTTAGAAGAGATGTTTTTATACTAGAAGCATTTTTCATAATACTGAAAAGGTGGAAGGCATCCAAATATTCCTTGATGAATGAATGGATAGACACAATGTGGTATACATATTCAATGGACTTATTTTTAGCCTTGAAAAGGAAGGAACTTCTGACAAATGATTTAATATGGATGAAACTTGAGGATATTATTCTAAATGAAATAAGCCAGACACACAAAAAAGACAAATATATGATTCCACTTATATGAGGTATTTAGGGTATTCAAACTCATAGAAACAGAAAGTTGAATGGTGGTTGCCAGGGACTGGAGGGAATGGAGAAATGGGAAGTTGTTATTTAAAGGGCAGAGATTTCAGTTTTGCAAGATAAAAGTTCTGGGTATTGGTTATGTAACAATGTGAATGTATTTAAAATTGTTGAACTGTATACTTAAAAATGGCTAAGATGGTAAATTTGATAATATGTGTTTTATCACAATTAAAATCTTAAAAAATTCAGCAAATTACTAGAACCTAGCTTTATAGAAATGCCTCTTTTTAGTTAAGTTTATCGGTAAACTGAGGTCACGAGGGGCAGTTTTTGTACTCAATAGTGCTACCACACAGGTGAACCGCGTTGTTTTCATGTTCTCCTCTGGGCTCATTTTCCCTACTACTTACCACCAGTTAACACATTTTACTAATTTGTCTGTTTTCCTCATCAGAATATAATTTCATGAGAAGAGGAATTTTCTATTACATTTATTGAGAAGTCTCTCTGGTTCGCTTTCTGTCTCTGTGACAAACTAATAGACATAGACAATTTATTAGGAGAAAAAGTTTGCTTTGGTTCATGGTTTCAGGTTGTAGTTCATGGTGGTATTGCTTTTCGGCCTGTGCTAGGCAGAACATCATGGTGGCAAGTGCATGGAAGAGGAAATTTGCTTGCTTCATGACGGCTGAGAAGCAAAGAGAAAAAGGAAGGGGTGGAGATCTCAATATGCCCTTTAAGGCAGGACTCAAACAACTAACTTCCTTCTATAAGAGTCCACTTCCTAATAGCACCACAAGTTGTTGATGAAGTCTTTAGTACGTGGCCTTTGAGGGACATTTCAGATTCTTTAAGCTGTAATAGTCCCTCAAGTAGGAAAACAAAACAAAACAAAACAGGGTTTTTGTTTGACCACAGTCAGTCTGCTTTATGGCTACTTCAGTGCCTGAGTGACACCTGACTTACATTCACTATTAAAAAAGAAGGAAAAATGTACTATGTGCAAAAGTCTTAAGATTACTTACAACTTCAATGCTGCATGTTAAATATATCTTAGATAACAGAGCTTATTCTAATGGGTAAAGAGCTCAAAAAGTGATACTTTGTCATTTATGATCATTGTGGAATGGTCTTGTATTATCTGTAACTATGATATTTCTTGCAATGAGAGTTAAAAGAGTTTTCTGCAAAATCCTTGTTCAAATAATCAAGGCTAAGATTTTTATTTTTATTTTTTACCAAATAAAGGCTATGAAGAACTGAAATGTGATTATATTGGTTCTGCAAATATTGGGAAAGAACTGAGCCTGCATTTGTGTAAGAAAAGTTTCAGAATATATATGCAAATTTGGCAAATGGAGTTGGTTTTCCCCATGGTACTTTGAATAAAAAAAGACATTTTAACAAATCACAGCTTCATAGAAAAATCTCTAGTTTTGTGGTCTATTTTCTCAAATAATAGGAAATGAACTTTTAATAACAAGTACATGGGGACCTTCAGTGAACGGGTTTATTTTTCAAAGTACTGAAGTGCGAGTAGAACGGGGCAATTCCTATAATACCTGGAGGATCTGACTAAATGAATTTATACCTAAGTTATTAAGTTACAATAACTAAAAGGTGATAATTTATCTCTTAAAATGGCCTTCCAAATCAGACATAAAAGAAACTCAGAGAAAATTACGCAAAAATAATTTTTGTATTATACTGCAAATGACCAACATTTATCTTACATTAATCATCCATTTGAGAGGAAACAGACACTCCATCCCCCAGTTTAGGCAAGATTCATCCCTAAAAAATAAAGCTGATATGTGCACCTTCTGTTAGAAAGCGATGAAGGACACGAACCTACATGATGCCATTTGTAAACACACTGCTGTATAGGCATCCTAGATCAACAGGATCATGCATTTTAAGAGCTGAGGCAACAAGGCATTTACAAATAACCAAGGTTTATGGCTACTGCCATGGTATCACCGATTGCATAAGCAAAGCAATGCAATTTACTTAAAAATATATGGACTAGACTGGATATTTTTGCAATAGTTGAATAAGAGATTATGTTGCTGCAGCTGTCTCCAGGCAGTTAAACTCGGTTCACTTTCTTTAGTATTACTTTTGAATAGAGGGCTGTCTGGTATTTTAGGGGTAAGGGGCCTTCCTGAAAAAATTCATGTGCATTTTATTAATGTGGGAGAAAGATGATGATCCTCTGGACCTGTGCCTTGGAAGAAGGAATAAACAACCCCCCCCCACCCTATTTTTTTTTTTTTGTCTTGCTCTTGCTGATTCAATGCACAAACCTCAAGAATACTTAGATGCACGGCTTGACAAAGTGTGGATAAACGGGAGCTGCCCTCCTGTCCTTCGCAAGCCTCCGTGAAGGCAAACTACGCAATTTTAAGCCTTAACTTGGCTTTTGGCAGACTCCCGACCTGGTTCAGACTCATCCTTCGTTTGTTAGATATTTTCACCCCGCTGCCTTTAACCAGGGCCGAGAAAGGGCCGTCGCTTGGCCGCCACACGCGGTCACAGGGCGATTCGGTCTGATCAACGAGCAGGACCGGAGCCTTGGGTCCCGCGCAGCCGCTGGCTCCTCGGTCCCGCCCGCCTGGACGCGGGGGGCGGCGCGCCCGAGAGCTGCCCTCTTCCAACATGGCGCCGCGGGAGGCGGGTCCCGCTCTTCGGCTCCCAGGGTTCCGGCGCAGCGCGTTTTGGTTCCGGAGTAACAGTGCTCTCGCCGCCGCCTTACTCCGCCTCTCGTCGCCGCTGCCACCGCTGCCGCTGGACTCGCGGCCTCGGGTGGCGGGGACTGAGCTCTCACGCGCCGCGCCCTCTGGCTCCAGGTGGGGCAGAGGACTTGTCCCCTGACCCTCCCGCCTAGGGCCCACCTCGGCCTTCTCGTGGTCCCGTGGCCCTGGGGCTCCTCCTAATAGCCCTGGACTGAGTCCCCTCCGGTCGGGGATCCTCCCCTCGTCCCTTAAGCCACCAAGGAGGGGTGGACACCGGCCGCTACATCTCCCCCAACCCGGGTCCTGGCTCTGCAGTCCCCTCACACCCTCACGGACCGCTGAGAGCTTCACGATTCTGTTTTGCCCTCGTTACAACTCCAGAACCGAGCGACCTCGGTCACTGCCTGCTCCCCAGGGCACCCTTCCCGGGAGACACGCTCAATCCCCCACACAACCTGGGCCTGGCTCTGTGCCTGCGGGCTCCTTCCTGATTCCCTCTTTCACTACCTCCCACCCTCTGTCTTCTGCCCTTCACTTCCCTTGTCACCTCTTAGAGCCCATTCTAATCAGGGGCCAGTGGGTATCCCTTGCCCCAGGATGTGAGCCCCTTTAACCTGTAATGCTGTGGCTGGCCCTTGGCCCCTTCCGTGCCATGGAGAACCAGGTGTTGGTGATTCGCATCAAGATTCCAAATAGTGGCGCGGTGGACTGGACAGTGCACTCTGGGCCGCAGTTACTCTTCAGAGATGTGCTGGTGAGTGACAATCTTAGTGTCCAAATCCCAGTAAGGGGGGCCTCAGGGTCATGGGGATTCAGCACACTGACTGATGGTGGCATAAGCTAGTGGTGGTGGCCACTGTTGGCCTCCAGTGGGGGTAGTTTTGTTTTGTTTTTGTTTCAACCACAACATTGATTAATTGCATTCACTGAAACCTGGCAAATGTGCAGAGCCCAGAAGAAAGATGAATCTGGCTAAACCCGTCCTCAGAAAGCTCACAGACTGGACTGGAACTTACACACTGAGGGAACAGACTAGAATATAAAAAGTTGAATTTAGAAGAGGTTTCTCCCCAAGTGTTTGGGGAATGTCCCTGGCCAGATTCCAGCCATGTCTTTCTACTGACTTCTCTGAATTTGGTGACCTGCCTGGAAAGGGAAATAAGAGCAACTTTAACTTAACCATGTTTGAGCAAACCTAAGGTGCCATTGATTTCAAGACAGTCTTACCACGAAGAAAGAAAAAAAAAACGCTGCCTGTTAAACTATGACATGCCATCCCTGTACAAACACAGCCTAATTTCAGAGATGAAAAAATGTACAAGGAAAACATGCATCTTATAATTGATAGTGTATTACCTTCAGGAAACTCAGAAGGTATTTTCAAATAAAATTGTGGAATGTATTGTGTGTAAACTTGTTGTTGGCCTATTCAGCCCCCAAGTCTTTTTTTTTGCAAGGAGTTACTAAAGAATACTGAGATGAAATGACTTTTCCAAAGCTGTGTAGCTTCTGAGTGGAAATCAGAACTCAAATTTCCTTACTTTTACCTATTTTTCCCCCATCTTTGTATCTTTCTTATCTTCAATTGACATAGACAGGATACACTGGGCCTATTTTATGTAATGAATAACTGAGACATCAAAGGCAAAAACTGACATGTTGAGAAGTAGGCTGTAAAAGGTAGATGCCTAGTGGAACTTACCTGCAACATAAGAGAGGGCTGAGGGTCATGGGTGTAGTTCAGCGTAGAGTGCTTGCTTAGCATGTAGAAGTCCCTGGGTTTGATTCCCAGCACTTGGGGGAAAAGGGTGTGTGGAGGATTGAGTGGCAGGGCCTTGGAAGGAGAAAGAATTGTGATGTGGTTTTTTTGATTGTCTTGGGCAACTGAATAAAATTTTGATTCCATTGACTTCATTTTGAATTTTGGATGTAACTGACCAAGTAGGCTATTTAGATTTTCAGGTACCTAAGCCAGGAGCCTCCAATCTTGTACACCATATACCATCCTTCACTCTTGCATCTGCAGTTCTCTACACACTCACATGCACATGGATTTCCTCTCGTGAAAAGCCCACATTCCTCATCATGGTCCTCTGGGTCCATCTTGATTGGTTCTGGTCTGGCTGGAACTAGCTTCCTCTTTCACCATACCTCCATGAGCATCCTGTGCCCCAGGTCTGTATAATCACTGTCATTTCTCCCAGGTGCTCAGGCTGCACTGTCCTTTTCTTCAGTTAGCCAACTCTCACCTGTCCTTCAAAGTCAAGTTTTGCTTTTCCTCCATGTTGGGTTGGTTATATGGCTGTATCTGTGTTTCTGCAGTTTCATGTGCTACTCCAGCAAAGCACACATTTGGTCACAATTATTTGCCTGTTTCTTTAGAAGATTCACTGCTAGAGGAGATGGAGATCTTTGTTTCCCCCTATCTCTGCTGCTTCACAGGGCCATGAAATATTTGTTTAATGGTGGAGTTTAAAAGAGGATGGCTGCAATTATAATTCTGTGGACACAGTACTGGATTTTGATTCAAGAAATTTGGGCTTAATTGCCATCTGTCCCACTAACAAGGCAAGTTATTTACCTCTCTGAACATCAGTCTCCCTATTTGTATTAGATTTGTGAAGGGTGGGGCTGGGTTGTGGCTTAGTGGTAGAGCACTTGCCTAGCATGTGTGAGGCACTGAATTCGAGCCTCAGCACCACATGAAAAATAACCAAAATTTAGTTGTAGTTGTGTCCATCTACAACTAAAAAGATTAAAAAGAAAAGATTTAGGAAGGTTAAGTGAAATTTGTGTTTATGATGAGGAAGATGAGTTTTCTCTTACTTTTATTCATTTGGAACAACAAAATATTATTTTGTGTAGAATAGTATACTGTTGAAGACCTCAAACTCTGAATCCAGGACGTCTGGGAATAAATTGGAAGTCCTACCACGTGATGAACATGTGGCCTTTTATTTCAGTTTCCTCTTCTTCTTTTTTTTTTTTTTTTTTTAAGGAAGAAGGTAAAAACAGTGCCTACCTCATAGAGTTGCAAGGACTGCTTGGGTTGATGCGTACAAAGCACTTAGAACAATCTAGCGTATAGTAAGTGCTCTCGAAGTGTTGTCACTACAACATAAGGGATAGGCCCTTGGTCTTCTGCTTCTTGAGCACTTCCAAATTGTTCCTGACCCAGGATTTGTGGCCTAAAGGAGACACTGCTCAAATGGTCCCATTGCTAGTGCTCAGAGTGCCATATGTCCGCCTTGCTCTTGTAAGTCTAGGTGGAGTACATTTGTCAAGAAGGCCCCATGTAGGTGCTGTGTGGTTTCCTAGGGAGTTCTGCCAGCATGCAAGCCGAGATCCCTGTGGTCTGCTCTCCCATTTCACTTCATCTTTTATCAAGAAAAGGCAAAAAACCCCCAACAGAATGTCATTATTTCTGGCTTGGAATCTTAAACTTCAAAGTTACATGAAAGCTAGAAGCATCTCTTCTAATCTACTTGCTTCCTACTCCCACCTTCCCAGTTTTCAAATGTGGAGGCATGAACCCCAGAGGGGAAAATGCCTTGCTGAAACCATATATAGCTAGTGTTTGGCAGAACTTAACAGAAGCCATGCTGCATCACTGAGTTAGCATAATTGAACACCGCAGACCACATGTGAGTTGTTGAGGGCTCTTCACCAAATGCCTGGGAGACCCTGGGTAAGTCAGTGGGCCTCTCTGGACCTTGTCTTTTGTCTGATCATCTAGCACTAGCTACAGTGTGAAGGAGGTCTACTTGGTCCCTAAGGGCAGAGGCATTTGGGTATCTATTGTGTCTGATTTTCCGGCTTTCTGGGTTTCTTCTTCTCCCTGGGACTGAGTCCTTAAGTTCTAGGAATCCTGTGCAGGATTTACATTGGTTTAGCACATGGTAGAAGAGAATGTCCAGTCTTCTCCTTTCTGTTCTTTGTACCCTGTCTGTAAGTCCCAGATCCTGATTTTTCATCATCTGTAAAATTTGCCTAAATGAAGCCTGTGATTCTTTCCTTCCTCCCGAGTTAGCAAACACTATTTGCTATTTATATCTTTAGTTTGGCTCTTACACTAGAAGTGCCTTACATTGTTAGTCTTTATCTCTGATCAGATTCTAGTCTTCCTGAAGTCAAGGAACAAGTCATTATTCTAGAGCCTACTTACAAAGCTCCTAGTATGTAGGCGCTCAGTTATATTTTTGGTCTCTCAGATATTTATCCAATTTATCGAAAGGAAGGAGAAGGATCAAGAAATGATCACTGTCAAGATATGTAGATTTCATTTCATTTTGAAAAAAGGTGAGATAAAAAGTCATATTGTTTAAAGATAGGAGAAAGTCACTTGGAAATAAGTCCTTTAAATATAACTGGAAAATATACATGAAATCATTAAATGTACCCTGCTTAAAAATGAGCAGGAGATATTTAATAATATTCAGACGTTTTACCCCTTTGTCATTATTTATTTATTTAAAAAAACCCAAGATGGTCAGCTGTGTTTGCATGATTCTCTCAATCAAATTTGCTATTTTTCTCTCTTTTCTCCTGTCAGATGTAAAGCATGTGGGGCGCCATATTTATATTGATGGGCAAAGCATGCCATTGCTGCCCAGCAGGGGTTTCAGCTGGTTATTAGAAATTTTCTGTTTGATGGGGTCTGCTATTCTTAAGATGAAGGAGTCTAAGTTAGATTGTTAATTCTGCAGAGACTTAGTTCACATCTCAAATTTGGTTGTCAGAATGTTTGGGGCTTTTTGGAAGTAACCAGTGATAACCTCCCCCATTTTTTCCACACTGGTTAAGAAAGGGTCTTTATTAATACTGAGAAGGGGTGGAGCCAGTGAGCACATTATCCTTCTCCACTGATTGTTGGGTGCTGAATTTAAAGGTTTAATATGAGGTAAGCTTTGTAATGTTCTAGTGATCAGTGATTTACTCATTTAACAGACACTAATATGACACTTGCCATGTGTTAGACACTCTTTTAAGCCCTTTACAATTATTAACTTACTAGTTCTACAAGGCGGGTACAGTTATGATCTCTTTGTTCATATAGGGAAACTGAGGCATGGAGAGGTTCATTCACCCAGCTGGGGAGAGGAGGAGCAGCATCCAGCCTGGTTGTAGTTGGTGCTTTTGAGTTTTTCATTGAGATACCTGTGTCCTTTATTCTGTACTTAACTGTACGTTTTCCTGTCAAAAAACTACTTTTTCCCTTTAAGTATGTAGAAAGAATTTTCTAACCCTAAAATCTTTTACAGATACTTTCTCAGAAAGTTGATGTTTCATTTGCTAAGACTAGAGTCAGAGAAAACATAATCTCTTTTGACTCTAATGAGCAAGGGCTGCCTAAGACAGTTCTCTTTGATCAATTTTATATGCATAGATTTATTTAAAAAAAAAAAACACTGTAGAGGCAAGACTATTATGCAAATTGCCACTGCAGCAAAAGCTTCTAAAGAATTGCCTTTAGAAGGAAGTTGCAGCCGCTACTCTGCTAAGTGCCCTGCTTGGAAGGGCTGTGGGCTCCCTGCTGAGAAATACTGCAAGCGGCTGAGGCTTTGTCAGCTGGCTGCCTGGTGCCAATTCTGGCACAGCCTGGCAGGGACATTGTGGGAGCGCTCTCAGAGAGAAAGGAGGTTTGCAGGACATTCGGATGGGACTGAACATAATGCAGGGTCACTTTCTCCAGAACTCGGGTGTTCTGTGCCTCTTCATTTAAACTGTCTCTAGAGTAATCTTTGAGTGTTTCAGCTTTTTGGATTCACATTGACATGAGATTCTCTATACTGTTTTGACTTTTTCATAGGCTAGATTAAATTTTATTTTGGTGTCATTAAATATGTTTTCCATTGCTCAAGTGTAAGGGCTGATGAGAACTCTTTGTGTGAAATATTGTTTTATAGGTTTAGATCATCATCATGGAAACCCATGTGCTTCACTCCTGCCACTGTGAGTGCAAGGCTGCAGGTTGCCTGTTTCATAACAGAAACCACATTTGTTGAATGTCTACAATGTGACAGGTCCCAAGCTTATATTTACTATGTTATTTAGTTTTTACAGTATGTCCAAGAATATTACTAGATCCATTTTGGAAGATAATCAGATTGAAGCTCTGAGAGTTTAAGTGATTTTTTTTTCTAAGTCATGCATCTAACAAAGAGTTGAGATCCAAAACTAAGGTGGCCTGACTCCCAGACTCCTTTCTCTTTCCCCTGCAGTACATTCCATAGCCTCCCACAGAGGAAACCATTTGTGTGTGTGTGTGTGTGTGTGTGTAGGTACACAATAGTGTAGTTGCATGCTCTGTTGAATTGAGAGTAAAAGATTGTTATTAATACAAATCTAGAAATTTCCTGAAGATTTTTCTCCTTGGAACAGAGATTTAAAGTCTGAGAATACCTTGATGGGCTAAGTGTGATTATGAGCTAACGTTTTTATAGTTTATGTCAACATTTCAAAAAGCTTTCCCAGGTTCTCATATTTCCTCTAGGATTTGCCACATGTTAGCAATAAAGAAGATGGCTAATTGTGTTTCTTTATTCTTTCTTTGTTTAGGATGTGATAGGCCAGGTTTTGCCTGAAGCAACAACTACAGCATTTGAATGTAAGTGTGGCTTGAATACTTTCTTGACTATTTCTTTCTGCAGTAATATTTCAAAGGGTTTATGGGTTGTATTACTTTAGAAACTGACAAAATCAGATTATTTATGATCATCATATGGTACATTTAAATATTTATAAATTAATACAAGTTTAATGATGATACTGAACTGAGTAATATTTTCTTATTTAATCATATCTTGGATGTGCATATTTCTACAATATAGCTTTAATTACCAACATGACCTTTATCTGCTCTTGCTCCTTACTATAATAATATTGTGGGGCAAAATGAAAGGTGTAAACTACCTGTAGACCAATGATTATTGATTAAGAGATTTTAATCCTTTACTGCTTTAAAACATAGCAATGGAGTAGAGCTTTTATATGAGCATTGCAATGGAATAATTCTGTTTTAGTGGGGCTTGGCAGGACTGCTAGGTGATGACAGGAACTCTTTGGGTCTTTTTTTTAATATATATTTTTTAGTTGTAGGTAGATTATTTTTTATTATTTTATTTATTTATTTTAATGTGGTGCTGAGGATCAAACCCAGTGCCTCACACATGCTGATAAGTGCTCTACCACTGAGCCACAACCCCAGCCTACTTTGGGTTTTGAGTCCTTTCCCTCTCCAATGAATTGGCTTCCAGACAGGGTTGGGATGTGCTAAACAATTGGTTTTGAAATGAACCATGTCATTGCATTGGAGGCCACAGTGTGAGATTAGTCAATAGCATAGGGGCCCAAGTCCTTGGAAGGATAAGGTAAGAGTTTGAACCGTGATTCCTATCGGTATTTGAAGAAGCAGACCAATGTTCAGCATCAAAATCTTTGTTTTTTTTTCTACATAATAGTGTACTTTTGGTTTCTGTTTTTAAAAAAAGATGGTTACTGACAGATAGTATATGGGTACCTCCTCTTTGGATGACAATCTGACAATATTTATCAATATGTGAAGTGTTTAAGACCTTTAACTCAGCAGATCCACTTTTGGAAACTACCCAACAGAAATAACTATAAATATGCCAAATGCACCTCAAACAAGGTGTTCATTGTGAGCTTATTTCTATTAGCACAAAATTAGAGGTAAACTAAATATCTAGTATAATGGATTAATACATTATAGTTTACCCATATTCTAAAGCTAAGCAGCAACTAAAAGAATGAGTTAGGACTTTATGCATGGACATGGAGAGGAAGTCAAGGGTTGAATCAACAAATAGTTGATTCATAGTATGATAATAAGATTCCAATTTATGAAAAATTCACCCCCCATGTGTGTTTTGAGAGACAGGAACAGAAGAGTGCCTGCTGCAATTCTTTCCTGTTGTCTCCCCTGGAAGGCAGAAGTGGGACCTGGCGCAGTGAATGGAAGAGCACACTTTTTACTTTTTATATTTCCCTATTTTTTGAATAGTTTTCAATAATTATTATTTGTTTTCAAAAGCTACTATGAATATGATTGTGAAGCTACTGAAAGAAATCTAAATAGAGGCTGCAGCACAGTATGTATTTCAGATGCAGTGTCAATAGCATAGTCTAGTGCTTCACGGTCCTACTCACAGTAGGGCTGAGGCTGCAGCTCAGTGGCAGAGCACTTGCCTACCATGTGTGGGGTACAGGTTTCGATCCTTAGCACCACTAAAATAAATAAATAACAAACAGATAAAGGCATTCTGTCCATCTACAACTACAAAAAAGAATTAAAAAAACAGTAATAATTATTGAAAAATATTATACCAATTAATAAAATAAAATATTAATTAACTGCAATAGGCTGTATTGTTGACACAGTATCTGAAATACATACAGTGTTGCAGGCTCTTCAGGGCTTTCAGTGGGCAGCCTGAGAGTCTGCATTTGCAGTATGTACTGTTACCAGAAGCTGTGCTAAGAGCATTCCATGGTCAGCATTTATTTTAACCTTCACAAAGTCCCTACTTTGAAGGACCATTATCAGCTCCATTTCAATTGAGGAAAGGAAATCTCCTTTAAGGACTTCTCCTTTGAGAAAAGGACACCTTCTGAGGAATTTTCTCAAATAAGTGGTAAAATGGAATTTCTAGAGTAGATTCCAGAGCATATATTCCCAGCCATTGTGTTGGACTTGTTCTGAGAGTTATCTTAATTAAAATCATGTAGTCTGTTTTTTCTAAGCCCTGCAAAAAGCAGCTTACTTTGTACTTTCTACTTCTTGCTTTCTGGGTCCCCAGATGTGCGCCTACTCCACTGGTTCCCAGAGTTAGGAGTTCATATTAATAATAATAATAATGATTGTTTTTCCTGTCATTTATTGATGGCTTTCTCTGTGCTAGCCAACTCGTAGGTGCTTTACCTACTGGATTGTGCCTGTGACTTTAATAATCTGTATGATGGCTTTGTGAGGTAAGAAAGTTAAACCTATGGGGAAAGTGAAACTCAGAGACAGGTGAGTATCTCTGTTCTCTGAGTGGTATAGCCCAGATTCAAACACTGCTCTTTGTAAAACTTGCACTCTTTATAACTAAGCATGTTGAAAACCTATGGAGTGTAAGTGTAGGAAAAAACATTTAAACTTCTATGTTTAAGTTCTGTGACATGTGCTTTTCCTCTTCTCTCAGCAAGGGCAGCAGCTCTATACCCATCTACGACTGGACCAGTTTTATATGGAAAACAATGCAAACAGAAGCACACACATAGACAAAATAACAATAGGGATTATTTTTTTTTTGTGCTTGGATTACTGTGTACTTTCCATTACAGACTTGAAGTCCTAACTGGCTTTTCTTATGACTGTTCTAGGGTGGCTTATTTTTTTCTGAACCAAAAATCTGAACCCGTAAATGGAACTTATATATAAGAAATAGCTAAGAGATAGTTTATAAATTAATTTACTGGAATTTGGGGGATATATCTGTGGCTTATGGGTATAATGAACAGCCCTCAAATGAATACAACTTTATTCAAAGAAATGCTTAAGGCATTTAGTAAGTATTTAATACTATAAGCATATACCCAACATTAATTGATTTCTTATACAGGAGAGGTAGCATTTTATTCAGTGATATGAATTAAGCAGTAAGAGAAAGGGCAGATGTCAGATCTACCTGTTTTATATAAATGTAGAAAAAAAAAAAGAATATAGAAAACAGGGTAAAGATTAGGTGATGCTACAGAATTCTCTCACAGATTCTCCATCTTGTCAGTAAAACCTATGATGATTCCAGATGGGGCACCCCTCCTCCCCCCACTACATCTTTACTAGGACAAGCCACCCGCTGGTCAGCTGTGTGAGTGTTTTCCTCCTTCACTAAATTGTTGAGATACTTTGTGATAGATACTACACTTTATTTTGCTGTTGCTCTCTTCTTAGTACTGAGCATTAGAGCCTTAGAAGATTGTACTTGTTGAACAAAATGGAAAGGTGCATGTGTCTGTATTCAAATGGGAATTATAAAATACACATGATCTAAAGCTAAACAAGTAATTTCCTTTTTCGTATTGTTTATGCTATTGTCTGGGCATGACATATAATTTGTTGGTGGTGAATAATTCAGGCCCCAAATTCAAAACCCAGGGGTACAGAGGGGCAGAAGGTTTGTGGGGGTGACAACCTTTCTGATTTCTTGTCCAAGGGGAGTTAGGGCTGGTTGAGAGGAGGGAGGCCAGTCTGAGCTAAACTTGCCTTTTGGACTAGTGGTCCTAAACCTCTATTTTTTCTTACCCTTTTCATGTCCTTTCTCTCTCACAACTACACTACAAAGAAAGTACTTTTTTTTTTCTTTTGGATATCTGTTATGATATTTGTTGATGAGATTTTAAAAATTTTTTTATTTATTTATTTTTATGTGGTGCTGAGGCTCAAACTCAGTCCCTCAGCATGCTAGGCAAACACCTTACCACTGAGCCACAACCCCAGCCCCAAAAGTACTTTTGAATAGTTACAGTTTGATTTGTTTTAAAGTGAAGAAGGTATAGATAGTCTTTTTTAAAAAGTCTAAGCAACACAGAAAAAAGAGAAAAGAAGTCTCCATTTCCTCAAGTCTTCTGATTTTATTGTTTTTCATAGTTAGCAATTTCTTCTGTATCTTTACAAAATTTTCTCTGTACTATGTTCTACTTTCCCCTGACCCTACTAAATAGTATATATTACACCTCTTTCCAATATCTACTTCATTCTCTTGGATAACTATATTAAACTTAATTTTATGGCTATGGCTTAATGTAATTAATCTATTTATTGACATTTAATTGTCACCAGTTCTCAGTTTTAGAAAAAAAAAATGCTGAACTCAACATAGATGTCTTATATCTTTCCTCGTTATGGAAATATGTTTTGTAGGATAAATTTCTAGACTTTGGAACTATGGAGACAGAGAGTACACGTATTTTAAATTCAATACCTAGTACCATGTTTGTTTTTCAAAAGTAGGACCAATTACATTTCCACCAATAATGCGTAAGAAAACCCATTTCTCTTTACTATTACCAACTCTGGATATTAGCAAAAATTTTAGTTAATGTCAATTTGATAGGTGAAAAACATTATAATACTGTTTATATTTAATTATGAATGAGCTTTATCATGTTTTTATTTGTATTTAATGTTTGTAAACTTTTTTTGGTCACCTTTGCCCATTTTTCTATTGTTATTTGTTTTTTAAAATTGATTTAAGAGTTTTCTTGTAAAGCAAATCAGCTCTTTGTGTTAACATGTTACAGATATTATTATTGAGTTTATTTCCACTTTTGTTTTTCCATAAAGAAGTTAAAGTTCTTACATGGTCAAATTTATCACATTTTCCTTTGTGACTTCTGACTTCATGCTTAGAAAGTCTTCCATGTTCTAGGATATTGAAAAAACATTCATCTGTGTTAGTTTTTCTTAATGAAGTTAACACACAGATACATATTAGTTATGTATATCAATATGTACGTTTGTATGTATCAGTTTTTAAAACATGCATTTTTTTATTGCAAAGATGAGGGTTTTTTTGCTTTTTATTTTAAAATCATACCATC